TGTGTCCAGTTTTGGACCCCCACTACAGAAAGGATGTAGATGTACAGAAAGCATGTAGACAAGTTGGATAGCATCCGGCAGAGAGCAACAAAAATGGTTTGGGGGCTGGGGCACATGACTTATGAGAAGAAGCTGAGAGAACTGGATGTATATAGTCTAGAGAAGAGAAGACTGAGAGGGGATTTGATAGCAGCCTTTAACTACCTGAAGGGGGGTTCCAAAGAGGATGGAGCTAGACTGTTCTTAGTGGTGACAGATGACAGAACAAGGAGCAATGGTCTCAAGTTGCAGCAAGGGAGGTTTAGTTTGAATATTAGGAAAACCTTTCTCATTAGGAGGGTGGTTAAGCACTGGAACACATTCCCTAGAGAGGTGGTGGAATTTCCATCCTTGGAGGTTTTTAAGACCTAGCTTGACAAAGCCCTGGCTAGTACAATCTAGTTGGGAATGGTCCTGCTTTGAGCAGGGGGTTTGACTAGATGACCTCCTGAGGTCCCTTCCAACCCTAATTTTCTACAATTCAATGATAGGAAACTTATTCTCCAGGACAGTATTAAACTGCCTTTATACCTAATACCACCCTTTCTCTTCCTGCAATCTTCTGCCTCAGTTCACTGCACAACTGCAATAAGGGAGGCAACACCCTTTCAGATAACAGCCCCATGCAACATGGGAACCTGTTTCATTTCCCTAGCATAGCCCATCTTGCACATTGAATAAAGGGGTGGTTCTGTTGAAAAAATATAGTATAGAATCATCTAATTAAACTTGTATCATAATTCATATGCCCAAGGTAAAATGTTAAAAAAAACAGATGGAATCTCCAAAAATAAAAAAACCCATCAAAATCACATTCTTTCGTATATTTAAATTTGGGTGGGGTGGTGTAGTATAATATGTATAATGTATTATATATACTATAATATCTTGTATAAGATTATTGCAATTAGAAATTAAAAGCATTTACTTTGATCAGTTGTTCCATTATTTCACCAATTATGTGTTTAGATAGAATATTTTCCATCCTCCTTTTCTAATTTTATATGACTCATGAAGTAGACATGTTCTTTAAAAATATATACCATGGTCTCAAAGACTATACTGCTAGGTATGTTTCTTGCTAATCAATGTAATTATTTTTTTGATTAATTTCACCTCATCACTCATTGTTACATCCCCTTGAACCACCCAAAATACCTCTACCTTTTCCATGTATATATACAAGATACTTGTAATCTATTATGCCTCTCCAAGGCAGTTATCATTTGGATAATCTTTCCTCATGAATCAGTTCTAACCACCATCAGTTGCTGGTCTATGAATTCCCTCCAATTTCTCTGAACCTTTTATAACAATCCAAACTAAAATATAATATACAAAAGCTTCCTACAAAACCTTTTCCTTTCAATTTAGTACCATTTTTCCTATTTGTTACTTTCTCACAGCTCAATCCAGGAAGACTTTATGGGCAGAATCCTATTTCATTTATGTGCCCAAACTGCATGCCCAGCTCCCATTTCTGGCTTTTATACACAAGTCCTTCCTGCAGTGTAGACATGTAAGTATCCACACAGCTATTGGGTGTAAAAAGTTGGCTATGCACTGGCCAGGCAGGTATGCCTCTCTGTATATGTGTACACTGGACAAGTGTAAGCCTTCCTCTTGTTTTTCTCAGGACTTACTCCTGTTGGTACATGTGTAAAGATCCAGAGTGCATAACCAACCAGAGTGTATTCTCAGTAGCCATGTAACAGGAAATAGATTCATAAACTGTGTTTGTGTGCCAAAAATGGCAATTATGTGGCTGGAAAACTGCCATTCAGGTGTGTAAAGTGAAATAGGCTTCTTGTCTATGAAGGCATGGAGTATACTAGATTGAATTTGACTATTTGTGTGAAAATTATGTACTCACATGAATAAGGGTTTGCTGGAGCAGGCTCTTAATTAAGATATTTTGGTAATATAAAGAGAGAGATTTCCAACTTTAGAAGGCAAACCAGCTGGCAAAGGCAGAACCAGGAAAATTTCAAGCTGGGTAGCCAGCTACTCAATCTCCTACCATTTAAAAATATGGGTACCATCAAGATGCTTAAAGTTATTAAAGTAAATCAGTCTTCCCCATAGCAGTGGAATAGATCAGAAGTTTATACACCAAATGTAATACTTGCAAGACAGTTATAGATTTCCTGATCAACTGAAAGCTTTTCATTCCATTTATAGTCAATACTCCCAGAATACTAATCACTCTTAGCAGTGCAGTATACACACCATTGCTTTGTCAAGTCACCACAATTTTCCATATTCTCCCAATGAAACCCCTCACAAATTAGATGTTAGTTCAAGTGCACCTCTCAGAAAATATTAATTGAGCAGAGCCATCAGATCCCTCCTGCAAATCTTCATTTGCTTGGCACGCACTTGTGCTAATTAATAAGGTATAAGTTAGAATTCAAAGAATTCCTGAGCCATAGCAGACCTTATAAAAGTGTTTTGATTTCCTTTTAAATCATGTACAGTTCAATCCCTTTGCATCTGATCTTGCAGTTTATGCCCAATTCTGGACAGCAACAGAAGTTACTATTGGCTGTTGTTGGCAATGGTCACTGCTAAACTGCAGTATTAAAGAGTCCTAAAATCAATATGTGTTTCTGTGCACCAGTCTGACACAGGCATCGGACTAACTTTTACACATAAATGAGAACACAGTAGCAATTCTAGGTTTACAGATCAAAAACCTTTTAAATGCTTTGATACACACTGTGCTATTACTAAGTTTAGAACCTATATAGTCCACAAAAACTTTATATCAGATTCCAAGAATTACTCATTCACAGTGCAACTGGAGATGGAGTCACTAGACAAGTGGCAACTATTTTTAAGTAAGAAATTCATGTTCTATAATTACCATAACCAGTGCTGCAGAAATATAACCCAAATGTGGAAACACCCATTCTTTCTGGAAACAACTTGCATAGAGCAGGAATAGGCTGCATTTAAGGAAAGCAATTATTTTTACACTTTGCAGAACATAATTTTATAAAAAGCTGAATTTCATGAGAGATCAAATACAGAGCATACAAGAGGTTTACTGCAGTTTTTAGACCCTGGTGCAGATGGACTCAATTCAGAGATTAATTGAATCAGCAGGAGCTCTACAAGATAAAATGCATGCAAGGGAAAATGGAGGATATGCTGTCTACTGTAAGGGAATACCATGAACTTCCTTCCATAGGGAGGCATCCCTGTTGGTCAGTAGAAAGAATAAATGAGGAGGCATGGCCTTGAAGTGTACAGTGCTGCTGGTAATGCAGTTCCTACTAATCCTTGTGCTCAGATGAATACAAGTCCTGCAATTGTGACAGACAAGTCTGCATGAGGAAGCATAAAGGTAAGGGAAAGTCTTCCTTGTGCTCTCTCCACACCCACTAAGTGGCCAATTCAATTAATTACAAGATTATATTTGGTCAAATGAAAAACCTTAAGTATAGAACTAAGTTCTTCTTTTGGTTACAGCTAATTTCATGGGCTGCAGAAGTTTATCTGAGAACAGAAAATCATTCTTGATAAAAGATTAGCTAAGTCAGAAATTAAAGATATTAGATGGTCTAGCCTAGCGCCTTGCCAAACAAGAACTTTTTCCTATAGTATATATGTACAAAAAACTTTAATTCTGTTCCCCCCAAAACAAGCATGGTGGATATGGGTACACATGCCATCAATACTATCTTTCCCTGTTCTGCTAGTATGTATTAAGAGCTAAGGCCCAAATCCATTTAACCTTGAAAGTGATTGCAACTTAGTTTACCACTAACCTCAAATTTAGCCATGAGCCTCAGGAGGCCTAATCCTATCAAACCTCTAAATGTCAATGAGTGCTTTAAACCACTTTAAGGTGTTAATGTGCAGACAATCCAGGGGTTAAGAGCTCCAGGGGCCACCCAAAATTACTGTGTAACAAGGCCCTAAGAAAGATGGAGACAAGTTATAGCAATGTGCCAGCTGAAGAGCTGGGGCTAGAGAGAACACAAGCCTCTTTTTTTAACGTATAGTAAGGGGCTTCTGCTACCATTACTCCTCTGTGTAGCCCAGGGAGAACTTGTGCCGTCTTTCTGCCACTACAGGTGAAAGTCCTTCCAGAGGTCACTTCTGCTGAAATACTTCTCCTCCCAATTAGGAGGAGCTCACTAGGAGCTCACATTCAGCTGATTACTCACTTGGCATCCCCTTGGCAGCTGAAGTGTTCAAGCTGAGAGTGAAAATGGAAAGGTATAAGAGCAATGACATCCTCATACGTTGGTTAGTTCAGTAGCACAAGTATTTTGCTAAGAAGCCGAAAATGAAGAATTTTGTAGCCCTGTGACTTATTTTCAAACTAAACCATGTGAGTTAAGAACTTCAAAATAACCTAGAAACTGCACTTCAGCAGGTGAAATGTGTTGAGCCCCATCAAATAATATGAAATAAATTTACATCATCTAGGTTCTACCCATGGCTTAAAAATAGCAGCCCCATCTCTCTAATTCCTAGCACCTCATACCTGCAGTCACACTTGTAAAAATGTGAAATACTACAAAGTGAGAATAGGAGAGGTTTACACTCACTTTGCATAAGTGTCAATGACAGCACAAAGTGCAAGGCAGTGAAGAACTAGGTCCATCATATTTTCTGGCTGTAAAATGTATCAGAAACAATTCAAATGTAAATATGCACCCCTTGTTCATTAAAAAAGGGAAAATAATCTCTTTGTGAACATCCACTTTCTAAGAATTTGAAGATAAAATTATACTTTACAATGAATTTATAATTGGATATATCAGTAGAAATGGTTAACCCTTAACTGTAGTGGGTTGTCATTTTGGTTCGAACACTCTTTTGCAGTCTAGTATTTGCATTCAGTAAATACTTTGCATTGTTCTCTTACCTGAAGAAGAAAATCAAAGAGTGCCATCTTGGACCACTCATGGTGATGAATCTCCGTGCATCCCCACTCAGCTTTGGGCACTTTGCCATTTACCCAGCACTTCTGCTTCAGTAGCTGCTGATAGTCTCTCCAGTTTAGTCTCACAGAAGAATGGGTGCCATTATCTGTTGGGGACAGTGTGGGATCCCAGAGAATAACAGGACAGGGCTGCCCATCTAAGAAAAGACAAAATGGAATCATTACCCTATGTGAACGATGCTTTCATGGACTTACATCATTTAGTCATTCTTCAGACAGTCTGTAAGAGAACAATAATTTATGGCATTTGCTTTTAAAGAGGACATTCTACAGATGTGGCAGGAAGGAAAGAAACCCCATTAATTTGACATCCTTTGTTTAATGTGGTCATACTCCACATCTAAAACCAGCTACCACAGAAAAGGAAACACCATAGACATTATAATTGTCTTCGGTAACTGAGAAAAATTGTTTTCTGTTTGCAACAAGGGCTGTATGCTTACACATCTATTAATTGTAGACGGCTATTTATTAACTCAATCAAAAAGGTTTTTGGCAGATCAGTAGCTCATAAAAATCAATGTGGTGCCTTTGATTTCAGTGAACTATGGCACTGAGGTGTAATGTTCTTTTTTTCTAATGAAGGTGGGACAAGGGAGAGGCAGAAAAGTCTTGAGTTCAAACAGTGGATTTATGTTGTCATCTTTAACATCTGAGTCCTGCAAATAAGACTTCTTAGTTGTAAATAGATAGGTTATAGATAAGATATATGACAATGTGACATGAAATTGGCATGGACAATGAGTTATGAAGCCAATGAGTTGTACAAATCATCCCAGGGGATAGCCTTCATTCTACCCACTCCATCATGAATTCTTTAATATGTTCCAGAAAATCCACTTCAGGCATGTTTTAACCAGTTTTAAAAATTTATATAAATATTTTTTCTTACCCAGCAACCATCATGCAAAGTGTGTTAACTATGATGAATCCAACTCTTCATGACTCAGAGAAGGAAATTATAACAACCACATTTTTAAACCTTTAAAATGAGCTAAACCTCTATAATAATATCAACATATTATTTTATCATTGTATTATTATAGATATTATTATTATTATTATATATATTGTATTATTATAATAGGGTCCTGTGTGTCAAAATATATAGCAGCAGTGCTAAATGCAAGTGGTGTGTATCCCATTAGAAAAAGGGGTTGAGCACTTTCCAAGATGGTGCAAAGTTCTTATTGCTAACTCTGCTGCTCCATTTGATAGCTTAAACTCCATTTGATAGCTTGACAGTTTAAGCTATCAAAGGAAGAACACTCCCTTCTTTCTCCATGTCTTTGTGACAAAGTATTTAGCAGAATTTGAAGATTCATTGGAATCTGACGGGGCCAAACGTGCTTCTGCCATGGCCTCAAATTTGTGACCTCTGAGCTATCAAACATACACTTCAGTGCCCACACCACCCCAGACCATCTAACTGGTCACTGAAACAGAACTAATTATTGCCTATGTAGCAGTTTAGACCACAGTACATTTATTTTATTTTTCTAAGGAGGGAGGAAGGGAAGAGGGCATGACATATTCACGCTTCTATGAAAAAAAGAAAATATTTAGCTGAAAAGTTGTTGTTTATTAAATAGCAGCTGGTGGAACATGCTTGTATGTTAGTCTTGATCAGTGAGCAAAAGCAGAAGTGACACATTAAAATTATATATTATATCCAAATGAACACACTGCTATACAAGTTTCAGCATAGCTCTCACTCTTACATAGATGGTTATGTTGCAACTCAAACAATCTTAGAATGTCAAACTGTGTATATATTAAATGGGAGAGGTGCCAGAAAAGTGCTATTCATAAACCCACGTGCAAACACTCCCATGGCAATGAGATCATTAGCACAGGGTATCACTCAGAACAAAGAGCAGAATGACTTAAGAATGTTTCTGTGGACTCCTGCCAATATCCACAGTGAAGTCAAGAAACCATCCTGTTTCGGGGGAATGCTGACTGATCCAAAATGATCAGCAAGGACAACTGATCTTTGCCCATTATTAGCAAACAATCTTCCACCCAGGTCAATGCAATCTCCAAACCACAGTAGTCTCCCAGGACACAATAGGTTTATCTATATTGTGCACCCAGTATTTCCTAGCAAGAATGTTCCTGCAGGCACTGCACCTATTCACATGTGCCAAACCTAGAAATGCACTAGTGAAATGCTCACTCTTAAGACTTCAAGTCCAGTATACTTGAGAACAGCAGGTGAAGGTGCCCCAGAGCAGTTTCACCAATATATCTCCAGGTTTGGCGTGTGTAAGTGGGAGTGGGTGGACTCAAGCGAATCTTTACAGGGGAAATGCTGAGGTCACTATGCAGACAAACCAAATGAGTCCAAGTGATCCCACAATGGATTGAATAAAAACTTTTTCACCTTGACTAGAAAGTCGGGAGGATAGTGAAAAGCAAAACTAGGAGCCTTTCAACTTTTCCCTGTCTTGACACTCAAACATGAGACAGTCACACCCAAATGACTGCCTCTTTAGCTCTTCTCATCTTCCTATTATTTTCTAATAATTAGGCATCAAGACAGAAAGCTTTGGTTTCACTGTCCTTCTGTTCTTCCTATGATGATGAGTGTCTGACATTTTTGAAAAACAGGCCTCTTAATTTGGTGCCCAAATAAGGATTTAGGAGCCCAATTTGGAGAATTTAGATTTTAACCTCTTGGGTAAATTTTTCATAAGTCCTATCCCCTTCTCCTTTCATTCTGGACTTCACTGCCAGCTTTGTTACTTTGTTATTGATGATAATCAAGTCAGTTAACTTCTTCATACCACTCTTTCTTTATCTAAGAAATGGGGGCAGTGATCCTCCCTTCCTTGGTAAAGCACTTCAGAAGGAAAACTTTCATAGAAGAGTTATTACTGTATAAACATCAACAACTTTTGTGAGAACATAGCAAAACAGACCTATTTTTTGTTCTGTTTATAGTGGAAATTCAAGTAATTATTTATGAGATTTTCCCAAAATAGATGCATCAGTGCTCTTCAAGCAAAGCAAACAACTCCTTCCTACCAAAAGGGTCATTATAACAGAGAGAGAATTATTTTTAAAAAGCTATGAAAAAAATAACTTGCCAATTTCCATTAAGATAATACAAGGATAAAAAAGGACCAAGGTTAAACACAGGAAATGTTTGTGATTCACAGGAAACAGAAGCAGCAAAGATGAACTAAAACAAAACATTTCAACTTTATCACATTATGTGGAATTACTGGCTCATGGAACAGCAGCTGGAGCCAGGAGAAGTAACCCAGGTTGCCAACCATTGCAGGGAAAATGTGCAGCTGCTAAGTAAAAGCAGATAAAGGGTCTAATCCACATCTCTATAAACTGGCATGGCCCCATCAGTCACCAGAGTTCTGCAGATTTAT